ACCACTACCCCCACTCACCACTACCCCCACTCACCACTACACCCACACTCACCACTACCCCCCCACTCACTCATCACTACCCCCACTCACCACTACCCCCACTCACCACACCCACACTCACCACTACCCCCACTCACCACACCCACACCATTCCACCCCCACTCACCACACTCACCACTACCCCCACTCACTCACCACTACCCCCCACTCACCACTACCCCCACTCACCACTACCCCCACTCACCACACCCACACTCACCACTACCCCCCCCACTCACTCATCACTACCCCCCCACTCACTCATCACTACCCGCACTCACCACTACCCCCACTCACCACTACACCCCCACTCAACACACTCACCACTACACCCCCACTCACCACACCCACTCACCACTACCCCCACTCACCACAACCCCACTCACCACACTCACCACTGCACCCACTCACCACTACCCCCACTCACTCACCACTACACCCAATCACTCACCACTAGCCCCACTCACCAAACCCACAACACTACCCCCACTCACTCACCACACTCACCACAACCCCCACTCACCACTACCCCCACTCACCACACCCACTCACCACACCACGACACCCCCACTCACCACTACCCCCACTCACCACTACCTCCACTCACTCACCACACCCACACTCACCACTACCCCCGCACTCACACTCACCACTACGCCACTCACCACACTCACCACGACCCCACACTCACCACCACCCCACACTCACCACCACCCGACACCCACTCACCACACCACTACCCCCACTCACCACCACCCCCATTCACCACACCCACACTCACCACTACCCCCACTCACCGCCGCCACACTCATCAGTACACCCACTCACCACACCACTACCCCCACTCAACACAACCCCCACTCACTCACCACACTCACCACTACACCCCCACTCACCACTACCCCCCCACTCACTCATCACTACCCCCACTCACCACTACACCCCCACTCACCACTACCCCCACTCACTCACCACTACCCCCACTCACCACACTCACCACTACACCCCCACTCACCACACCCACTCACCACACTCACCACTACCCCCACTCACCACAACCCCACTCACCACACTCACCACTGCACCCACTCACCCCTACATCCCCACTCACCACTACACCCAATCACTCACCACTAGCCCCACTCACCAAACCCACACCACTACCCCCACTCACTCACCACACTCACCACAACCCCCACTCACTCACCACTACCCCCACTCACCACATCCACTCACCACACCACGACACCCCCACTCACCACTACCTCCACTCACTCACCACACCCACACTCACCACTACCCCCCCACTCACACTCACCACTACGCCACTCACCACACTCACCACGACACCACACTCACCACCACCCGACACCCACTCACCACACTCACTCACCACTACCCCCCACTCACTCACCACTATCCCCATTCACCACACCCACACTCACCACTACCCCCACTCACCACAGCCACACTCATCAGTACACTCACTCACCACACTCACCACTACACCCCCACTCACTCACCACTACCCCCACTCACCACACTCACTCACCACTACCCCCGCTCGCTCACCACTACCTTCACTCACCACTACACTCCCACTCACCACACTCACTCACCACTACCCCCACTCACTCACCACACTCACCACAACCCACACTCACCACTACCCCCACTCACTCACCACTACCCCCACTCACCACTGCCTCCACTCACTCACCACTACACCCCCACTCACCACACTCACCACACCCACTCACCACACTCACCACTACCCCCACTCACTCACCACTACCCCCACTCACTCACCACTACCCCCACTCACCACTACCCCCACTCACCACTACACCCACACTCACCACTACCCCCCCACTCACTCATCACTACACCCCCACTCACCACACTCACCACACTCACCACTACCCCCACTCACCACACTCACCACTACCCCCACTCACCACTACCCCCACTCACCACTACCCCCACTCACCACTACCCCCACTCACCACACCCACACTCACCACTACCCCCACTCACCACACCCACACCATTCCACCCCCACTCACCACACTCACCACTACCCCCACTCACTCACCACTACCCCCCACTCACCACTACCCCCACTCACCACTACTCCCACTCACCACACCCACACTCACCACTACACCCCCACTCACCACTACCCCCCCACTCACTCATCACTACCCCCCACTCACCACTACCCGCACTCACCACTAACCCCACTCACCACTACACCCCCACTCAACACACTCACCACTACCCCCACTCACTCACCACTACCCCCCACTCACCACTACCCGCACTCACCACTACACCCCCACTCAACACACTCACCACTACACCCCCACTCACCACACCCACTCACCACTACCCCCACTCACCACACTCACCACTGCACCCACTCACCACTACACCCACTCACTCACCACTACACCCAATCACTCACCACTAGCCCCACTCACCAAACCCACAACACTACCCCCACTCACTCACCACAACCCCCACTCACTCACCACTACCCCCACTCACCACACCCACTCACCACACCACGACACCCCCACTCACCACTACCCCCACTCACCACTACCTCCACTCACTCACCACACTCACCACTACCCCCCCACTCACACTCACCACTACGCCACTCACCACACTCACCACGACCCCACACTCACCACCACCCCACACTCACCACCACCCGACACCCACTCACCACACTCACCACTACCCCCCACTCACTCACCACTACCCCCATTCACCACACCCACACTCACCACTACCCCCACTCACCGCAGCCACACTCATCAGTACACCCACTCACCACACCACTACCCCCACTCAACACAACCCCCACTCACTCACCACTACACCCCCACTCACCACTACCCCCAGTCACTCACCACTACCCCCACTCACTCACCACTCACCACAAGCCCCACTCACTCACCACTACCCCCACTCACCAGTACACCCACTCACCACACTCACTCACCACTACCCCCACTCACTCACCACACCCACACTCACCACTACCCCCCCACTCACACACCACTAAACTCACCACTATGCCACTCACCACGACTTCAGACTCACCACACTCACCACTACCCCCACTCACCACACCCACACCATTCCACCCCCACTCACCACACTCACCACTACCCCCACTCACTCACCACTACCCCCCACTCACCACTACCCCCACTCACCACTACCCCCACTCACCACACCCACACTCACCACTACACCCCCACTCACTCATCACTACCCGCACTCACCACTAACCCCACTCACCACTACACCCCCACTCAACACACTCACCACTACACCCCCACTCACCACCACCACTCACTCACTCACCACAACCCTACACTCACCACCACTCACTCACCACCACCCCCACTCACCACCACCTCCACACTCACCACCACCCCCACACCACACTCACCACCACACTCACTCACCACCCCACACTCACCACCACACTCACTCACCACCACCCTCACCACCACCCCACACTCACTCACCACCACCCCCACACTCATCACCACCCCCACACTCACCACCCCCACACAACCCCACACTCACTCACCACCACCACACTTACCACAACCCTACACTCACCACCACCCCCACCCTCACTCACCACCACCCCACACTCACCACAACCCCACACTCACCACCACTCACTCACCACAACGCCCACACTCACCACCACCCCCACTCACCACCACCTCCACACTCACCACCACCCCCACACTCACCACCACCACCCGACACTCACTCACCACCACCACCACACTCACCACAGCCCTACACTCACCACAACCCCCACACTCACCACCACCACTCACCACCACCCCCACACTCACAACCCTACACTCACCACCACCCCCACACTCACCACCACCCCCATACTCACCACCACCCCCACACTCACCACCACCACCCCACACTCACCACCCTCACCACAACCCCCACACTCACCACCACCACCCTCACCACCACCCCCACACTCACTCACCACCACCACTCCACACTCACCACCACCCCACACTCACCACCACCCTCACCACAACCCCCACTCACCACCACCCCCACCCCCACCCTCACCACAACCCCCACACTCACCACCGCCACTCACCACCACCCCCACACTCACTCACCACCACCCCCACACTCACCACCACCCCACACTCACTCACCACCCCACACTCACCACCACCAATCACCACCACCCCACACTCACCACCACCCCCACACTCACCACCACCCCCCCACTCACCACCACCCCACACTCACTCACCCCCACCCTCACTCACCACAACCCCCACACTCCCCACCACCACACTCACTCACCACTCAACTCACTCCTCACCCATTGCAATCCCCGATTTCATCTTCGTGGGATTATCAGCGGTGCTGAAAACTCATCTATTGAGAACTGCCTCGTCTTGTTGTTAGTTTCTTGTCCTTCCCCCGCACCTCCGATGAGCACGATTGGCTACGTACGGTGCGAAGGAAGTTCTATGTACGGTGCGAAGGAAGTTCTACGTACGTGTGTAAGCTACGCCTGCCCGAATTCGATTACAACTCACGGCCAGCACCAGTGGGCAAAGATTGAGTAGCTGGGTGGTGGCATCACTGGGGAGACAAAGGCGGCCGGGCGTGGTGCTGTGCCCCCCCCCGTGTGCCATGCCGAACGTGAAAGGCGCCGCTCCTCGCTAACAGCACTTTGCCCCAACATGGGATCGTTGTCTTTGTGTGTTACAGTGTGCGTGCGTGTGTGTGCACGTGTGTGTGCGTGTGTGTGTGCACGTGTGCGTGTGTACCCGCCTTTGCACGTGTGCCAACCCCGTGTGTGCGCTCTTTGTAGGTCTGCCAGTGTGCGTGCGCGTGTGCGTGCGCGTGTGTGCCAGTGCATGTATATAAGGGTGAGCCTCCCAAAGTCGGCATCTCTCGCCTCCACTCTCTAAGCCACGTGGTGAGTGCCTCTCATACAGACAAGACTCGCACGGCTCCAACACTCACTCACACAGACACACAGCTCCAACACTCACACAGACACACTCAGACACTCACCCGGCTCCAACACTCACACACACAGACACTCACACACAGACACTCACACGGCTCCAACACTCACAGACACACTCAGACACCCGGCTCCAACACTCACACACAGACACTCAGACACTCACCCGGCTCCAACACTCACACACACAGACACACTCAGACACTCACAGACACTCACACAGCTCCAACACTCACACACACAGACACACTCAGACACTCACACGGCTCCAACACTCACACACACAGACACACTCAGACACTCGCACGGCTCCAACACTCACACACACAGACACACTCAGACACTCACCCGGCTCCAACACACACAGACACTCACACACAGACACTCACACGGCTCCAACACTCAGACACACTCAGACACTCACCCGGCTCCAACACTCAGACACACAGACACTCACTCGCACACAGACACACTCAATCACACACGGCTCCACCACCACCACTCGCTCACTCACAGTGACACGCAGTTTAAGCGGAGTCCCCTTGCCAGCTCTGCTGGCCCAGAGCGCAGCCGAAACCTTTGAGAGTGCTCTGCACAGCCTGTGGACGTGAACATTCTTGGGGCACCGCGAGACGTTAACTGCCTCGCTTGGTCGGCAGGAGGTCGTGGGTTCGATCTCAACCCTGACGATGCCTGCTGCTGTATATTTGGAGTTTGCGTCTCTCTTTCATCATTATCATCATCATCATCACGGTGGCGTGGAGATGTTAACTACCTCGCCTGATAGGCAGAAGGTCGTGGGTTCGATCCCGCCCCTGTAGTGCAGTGCTTTGGCGCGCCGCTCACGGCCAACACCGGTGACGATTATCTGAACCGGTCCGGAGCCTCCCCAAGGTCGACTCGGCCTCAAATGAGTACCCGGTGAGCGGTGCGTAGTGAACATCGCCACTGGGGAGACAAAGGCGGTCGGGCGTGGTGAGGGCCACCCACCCCCTCGTGTGCCGTGCCGGCCTTCGTAGGTGCTGCTCGCTAACAGCGCTTGCCCCATCAGTCTGTTGAGGCTACACGGGGGACCTTTGTCTTTTTTAGTTTTGTTGTTGTTGGGTGCGCTCAGCAGGTGCCTTGCTCCAGCGACCAAAGCCAAAGAAGAAGATGAAGCTCCACGTGGCTGCCCTGGCGACTCTCGCCGTCGTCTGCATCCTGGCTGCAGGTTCGCTCCCAGCTTGGCACGACGAGACCGCTTCACCAACACCCGCCGTGCCCCCAGCTCGCTCGCTGTGCTGCTGACGAGTCGCTGAAAGTGAAAGCCGCTTCCGGAGTTGCTGCCGCCGCTACACACACACACGCACGCACACAACAACCGCCATTCGCCACTAAGTGGCGGTGACGTCACCACGACGCTTGTGCCAGGCTATGTGCACCCTGAGGCCACGTGAAGTGTCAAACGCCCGCTGGCAGGAGGTCACGGGGCAGACCCAGGTGCCACGGGTCGACTGACTGAGATGACTGGCTGATGCACCACCTGTGCCCCATACTGTGCCAACACACGCACACACACACGTACACACACACACACGTACACACACACACGTACACGCACGTACACACACGTACACACACATGCGAACTCGTGTGTACGTGTGTGTGGCTCTTTAAGAACCCTGCTGCTGCTGCTCTTCCGAGATACAGAGACCCACACAGACACACAGAGACCCACAGAGATACCCAGAGACCCACAGAGATACCCAGAGACCCACACAGACCCACAGAGACCCACAGCGATACCCAGAGACCCACACAGAGACCCACAGAGATACCCAGAGACCCACACAGACACAGAGACCACACAGAGACCACATAGACCCACAGCGATACCCAGAGACCCACAGAGATACCCAGAGACCTACACAGACACAGAGACCCACAGAGATACCCAGAGACCCACACAGAGACCCACAGAAATACCCAGAGACCCACAGAGATACCCAGATACCACACAGAGACCCCACAGATACCACACAGAGACCCCACAGATACCACACAGAGACGCATACAGAGACCCCACAGAGATACTGACCTGTCAACCCATACGGCACTGATAAGGGGTTGACAGGTATTGCGTACGCGCGAGGGTATGGACGTCGTCGTGATCGTCCGACGTTCCGTGCCACCCCCCCTCCCGCAGGGTCCGAGGCCGCGCCCAAGGCGATGTCCGACCCGGCCGTGGTCAAGGCCCAGCTCTTCCCCGACGCCTTCTGGGAGAGCTTCAAGAATGTGTCCATGGAGTTCAAGAAGATGGTGCACGGCCTGCAGACCTCCAACATCGGGGAGCACGCCAAGTGAGCACACACAGCGGGCGCCAGCACCACCATCATCACCACCACCATCACCACCATCACCACCACCACCAGCACCACCATCCATCACCACCATCACCAGCACCAACATCTCTGTGTGTCTCTGTCTCCACGTGCGTTTGTGTCCCCACGTGCGTCTGTCTCCACGTGCGTCTCTGTCTCCACATACGTTTCTGTGTCTCCACGTACGTCTCTGTGTCCCCACGTGCGACTGTCTCCACGTGCGTCTCCACGTGCGTCTGTCTCCACGTGCGTCTGTGTGTGTCCGTGCGTGCGCGCAGGAGCCTGTACACCGACACGGTGGCCGTGCTGACCCCGTACCTCCAGAAGATCCGCGAGAACGTCACCAAGATGTACCAGGTGTACGTGGAGTCCAAGCAGCACTAGACTCCTCACTCGCGCACACACACAGGGGGGCACACCACACGCACAGCGGCACCACACAGACGGGGTAAACTGGGCACCGAACATAGAGGCCTCGCGGCTGATCGTGAAGACAGGGACATGTGACGTGCCCTGCGGCAGCTCTCCCTACGCGGCCCCCACCCACCTGTGGATGGGCACAGAACCAGCAGGGATGATGATAAAGATGATAAAGACACACAGACACACACACAGCCCCGCAGACTCGCCACACGCGGAGAGACCCACAGACTCCCAGACACCCACAGACACCTCCCACAGACACCACCCACAGACTCCCACAGACACCACCCACAGACACCACCCACAGACTCCCACAGACACCCAGAGACTCCCACAAACACCACCCACAGATTCCCACAAACACCCACAGACACCACCCACAGACTCCCACAAACACCACCCACAGGCTCGCCACACGCGGCGGAGAGACCCACAGGTTCGGGCCGCAAGACGCCGGGCCGTATCCGTGGCGCTTTGCTTCCATACAAGTCTCACGGCGATCTCAAATCGACCACCACCCACGCTGCATCTCCACTTTCCACCGTCCCGAAGCACCCCAGCGGCAGCTGTCCCTACGCAGCCGCCGGCTGCGGTCGGGGGCCTATCTCTCTTCTCTACCGCACTCGGAGCAGCGGCGGCGACGATCGCCGTCCCACGCTGCACGCCCACGAATTGTTGGGGGGGGGGGAGGAGGAGGTGACTCGTTTGGTTTTATTCAGAAGGTGGGAATGTCGTGAATGTTAATTGAAAATGATACGACCCAAATAAACGCGTTGTGTGACGATGCTTCTTGGCGGTGGTGACGTTCAGTGCGCGCGGTGAAAGTTGTCGGGACGGGATAAATGTGTTGTCGTTGAGAGCCCTCCACCACCCGACGCAGATAGAATCGTCGCGCGGTGCTTTTTGATCAACTCGCACACTCACCTTATTCACCCACCCACTCACCCACCCACCATCTCACTCAGCCTCTGACCCAATAACCTTCTCACTCAACCTCACACCCACCCACTCACCTTCTTACTCAACCTCACACTCACCCATCCACCCACTTTCTCACCCACCCACTCACCTCATGCAGCACCTCACTCATTCACCCACCCACTCACCTCATTCACCACCTCACCCACCCACTCACCTTCTCATTCAGCACCTCACTCACCCACCCACTCAACTTCTCATTCAGCACCTCACTCATTCACCCACCCACTCATCTTCTCACTCAACCTCTCACTCATTCACCCACCCACTCACCTTCTCACTTAACCTCCCACTCACCCACCCACTCACCTTATTCAGCACCTCACTCATTCACCCACTCACCTCATTCAGCACCTCACTCATTCACCCACCCACTCACCTTCTCACTCATCCACCCACCATCTCACTCAGCCTCTCATCCAACTCACCGACTCACCTTATCACTCAGCCTCTGACCCAATAACCTTTCTCACTCAGCCTCTCACCCACTCACTCTTACTCAACCTCACACTCACCCATTCACTCAGCCTCTCACCCATCCACCCACTCTCACTCACCCACCCACCCACCTCATTCAGCACCTCACTCATTCACCCACTCACCTTCTGACTTAACCTCCCACTCACCCACCCACTCACCTCATTCAGCACCTCATTCACCCACCCACTCACCTCATTCAGCACCTCACTCATTGACCCACCCACTCACCTTATTCACCCACCCACTCACCCTCTCACTCACCCATCCACTGGTGAGTTGAATCATCCTCAGTCGGATTTAGCAGCAATGTCGCGAAGTTTCACTCGAAACTGCGTCGAACGACTTCAGGGAGAACTACACCGGAAGTCGTAAATAACACCAGAAATTGGGTGCACAGCACCGGAAGTCAGAATCACAAAACCGGAAGTCGGAATCGCAACATCGAAAGTCGGAATAGCAACACCGGAAATCGGAATCACAACACCGGAAGTGGGCCTGGCGCGTGTGAATCTCCCGTACACCACGTGTCAATTTAATTCCTTTGGCTGTGGTTGGGTGGCGGAGGGTCTGATGACACAAATCTGGCGACTCCGCTGCTGCTGCAGGTGGCTGCCTGCAACCCAGCGATGTGGAGGCAGCAGCAGTAGCAGCAGTAGCGAGGGTTGGTAAATCACACGCAGTTGAAATTTCCCCCGGTGGCTGAGGGAGTGTCAGATCCGCACCTGCGGCAGCGTCAGGGACGCCTCGTTTCGCAACGCGAGGGGCGGATTTGTTGTTTGGTCGCGTGGTTATTTTATTTCAAAACGACTTTTACAAATATCTCGGCGCCGCTCGGAAAAAAACCCCAGCAACAACAACACCACCACGAGGAAGAACGGATCGGGAAGAAAAAACCGTCCACAAGTCATCACCCAGGGGGACAACGCAGCAGTCACCGGGACCGCCTTTGTCTCCACAGTTCCAACGATTGTACGCTGAACCAGATGCTCATTTAAGGCTGAGTTGACCCTAGGGGAGGGCTCGGTTTTCGATAATTGTCACTGTTCTTCGTGAATCGAACTGGGGGATGGCGCTGGGGTTGCAGCGCTCACCCCTGCACCCCCGTATAGCCTACACAGACTGTCGGGGCGAGTGCTGTTAGCGAGCATCTATTAAGGCAGGCATAGCACACGAGGGGGTGGGTGGCCGGCACCACGCCCGGCCACCTTTGTCTCCCCCAGTGACGATGTTTGCAATAACACCGCACCAGGTACTCATTTAAGGCTGAGTCGACCTGGGGGAAGCCCAGGACCGGTTTGAATATTCGGCACTGTGTGTTTTGGTCGTGAGCGAAAATCTCACTCGGATCGCCGGGTTCGTGGCGCGGTGCCTTAACCACAGCGCCACCGCTCCCCTCGAGACACAGAGACACACACCCACACACACCACAACAACAACCGCCATTCGCCACTAAGTGGCGGTGACGTCACCACGACGCTTGTGCCAGGCCATGTGCACCTTGAGGCCACGTGAAGTGTCGAACGCCCGCTGGCAGGTCACGAGGCAGACCCAGGTGCCACGGGTCGACTGAGATGACTGAGATGACTGGCTGATGCACCACCTGTGCCCCCTACTGTGCCAACCTGCTGTGCTTTAGCCACCCGGCGCTCCGCTCGTTGTTCTGAGCGTCGCTCCTCCGCCCTCCGTTGTTGTTGGAGGGCGACTGCCTCCAACTGCCCAGTAGCGTCCTTCACGAGCCTCCTCCACAGAGGCCGATCTTGACACCGCTGGTACCCGTCATCGGCAAGTCCACTCAGCTCCACATGCTCCTGTACCACATCACTCCATCTCTTCTCTAGCCCGTGCCGCGCCCGTTTAGCCCCCTCGATCCGGCCAAACAAAAGCTGTTTCGGCATGCGGTGGCTGGGCATGCGGACTACATGACCCAGCCAACGCAGCCTTGCCCGCCGGAGGAGCTCACCGATAGGACTTTGCCCAGATCTTTCAAAGATTTGTGAGCACCTCACACAATCCAGCTTGGTTAAACACAGGATGGATCGTAGGCAGGCTAGCCTAAATGTTTCTAACCGGCGAAGATGTCCCATTAGGGGGGTCCACGTTTCGCAAGCGTAGAGAAGGGAGGGAATGACCGTGGCCGAGAAGACCTGAAGCTTAGTGCGGAGCGACAGACCAGGTAGCTTCCACACAGCGTTACGCAACCGATAAAAAGATAATGCCGCTCGACTGATTCGGAGTGAGACCTCTGCTGTTAAACTGGAGCCGGTCATAAGCACACTGCCCAGGTATGGGAAACTCTCCACTCTCCCCACACACAGACACACAGATACACACACATATACACACAGAGACACAGACACACACACAGACACTCACACAGACACAGATACACACAGAGACACAACAACAACCGCCATTCGCCACTAAGTGGCGGTGGCGTCACCACGACGCTTGTGCCAGGCTATGTGCACCCTGAGGCCACGTGAAGTGTCGAACGCCCGCTGGCAGGAGGTCACGGGGCAGACCCAGGTGCCACGGGTCGACTGACTGAGATGACTGGCTGATGCACCACCTGTGCCCCCTACTGTGCCAACCTGCTGTGCTTTAGCCACCCGGCGCTCCGCTCGTTGTTGTGAGCGTCGCTCCTCCGCCCTCCGTTGTTGTTGGAGGGCGACTACCTCCAACTGCCCAGTAGCATCCTTCACGAGCCTCCTCCACAGAGGCCGATCCTGACACCGCTGGTACCAGTCATCGGCAAGTCCACTCAGCTCCACGTCCTCCTGTACCACATCACTCCATCTCCTCTCTAGCCCGTGCCGCGCCCGCTTAGCCCCCTCAATCCGGCCGAACAAAAGAGACAGACACAGACAGACACACACACAGACGCACGCATGCGCGGGAAACGGTAGGCAGAGCGAGCGATCTCATCCCGGGACGGTGGAAGCGGGAAAACGAAGGATAAATTATGTTAATGTACAGGGCAGCCAATGGGTGATGAATTATGTTAATGTACTGGGCAGCATGAGTGACACATTATGTTAATGTTTTGAGCAGCCAACGGGCGATGAATCCGCGTAAGAACGAATGATAAATTATGTTAAAGTTGGGTCGAATAATTGATCAAATGTTAATTACCAGCACACCCAATGGGGTATGAATCCGCCGCGTAATGGGTGATAAATTATGTTAATGTTCAGAGTAAGTGGTTGCGAAGGGGCGGGCGAACAGCCGCAAGGTGTTTGAAGGAGGCAGCCTGAAGCTGCCTTCAATGGCCCATGAAAGTGGACATCACAGTGCTACTGCTGAGACCCCTTCTCCTTCAAGTGACTCTGGTTAACACAGAACGGAACCCACGGAAGTGGACATCACAGAGCTACTGCTGAGACCCCTTCTCCTTCAAGTGACTCCCTGGTCCACACAGAACAGAACCCACGGAAGTGGACATCACAGAGCTACTGCTGAGACCCCTTCTCCTTCATGTGACTCCCTGGTCCACACAGAACGGAACCCATGGAAGTGGACATCACAGAGCTACTGCTGAGACCCCTTCTCCTTCAAGTGACTCCCTGGTCCACTCAGAACGGAACCCATGGAAGTGGACATCACAGAGCTACTGCTGAGACCCCTTCTCCTTCAAGTGACTCTCTGGTTAACACAGAGCGGAACCCACGGAAGTGGATATCACAGAGCTACTGCTGAGACCCCTTCTCCTTCAAGTGCCCACTCTGTCCCTATGGGAGTAATGCTCGGCACGTGACGGTCAAACCGGTCACGTCAACTCCAAAATGTGTGCCAGACGCGTTTTGTTTGTGCAGTCATTGGTGACCAGGCTGAGACCATCAACTCAGTCTACGGGACTTCATGGGTTTCTGTGTAAGTCTCTGGGTCTCTGTGTGAAGGGGATCTCAGAGGTGTGAGTCTTTGGTTCTCCGTGTGAGTCTATGGGCCTCTGTATGTATGAGCCTCTGTGAGAGTCTATGGGTCTCTGTGTGTATATTGGTCTCTGTGTAAGTCTATGGGTCTCTGTGTGAGTCTATGGGTCTCTGTGTGTATATTGGTCTCTGTGTAAGTCTATGGGTCTCTGTGTGAGTCTATGGGTCTCTGTGTGTATATAGGTCTCTGTGTAAGTCTATGGGTCTCTGTGGGAGTCTATGGGTCTCTGTGTGTATATAGGTCTCTGTGTAAGTATATGGCTCTCTGTGAGAGTCTATGGGTATCTGTGTGTATATTGGTCTGTGTGAGTCTGTGGGTCTCTGTGTGTATATAAGTCTCTGTGTAAGTCTATGGGTCTCTGTGAGAGTCTATGGGTCTCTGTGTGTATATAGGTCT